TAGCGCACCCTCAGACACACACAGCGCACTCAGACACACACAGCGCACCCTCAGACACACACAGCACCGTCGCTCACACACAGCACACTCCCACACATAAACAGCACACACACAAACATATATATATACATATAATACACAAGATCCAGCGCACTCACCTATCCACTAAACAGCAACTTCAATGTTGAAAGATTTTATTTGTTTTTTTTAAAAACACCTAATCTAGGCAAAAATAATGGGGGTTTAGTTACATTATATGATCATACATTGCATAAGCCTGCCACAACGTCAATGTACCCCATCTTTGGCAGGTCCTACACTAACAGCCTAATGTCTGCTCTTATGAGATTAACCTACTTGGGGAAAGAAATTCCATCTGGGGCTCTCTGCAGTACAAGGCTAAATAGGGCCCTGGGATGAGGCACCTGTGACAGGGAGGGGTGCAAAACCAAGGAGTTGGCTAGACTCCCAAATAAATATAAAGCAAGAGGGGGTTGGCTGCACTCACCTTAACATGCATAAATGGGGGTGCTGCTGGGGGCCAAATAATACAATACACAAGATCCAGCCACTCACCTATCCACTAAACAGCAACTTCAATGTTGAAAGATTTTATTTGTTTTTTAAAAACACCTAATCTAGGCAAAAATAATGGGGGTTTAGTTACATTATATGATATACATTGCATAAGCCTGCCACAACGTCAATGTACCCCATCTTTGGCAGGTCCTACACTAACAGCCTAATGTCTGCTCTTATGAGATATTGGGGAAAGAAATTCCATCTGGGGCTCTCTGCAGTACAAGGCTAAATAGGGCCCTGGGATGAGGCACCTGTGACAGGGAGGGGTGCAAAACCAAGGAGTTGGCTAGACTCCCAAATATATATAAAACAAGAGGGGGTTGGCTGCACTCACAGCGCACCCTCAGACACACACAGCACCGTCGCTCACACACAGCACACTCCCACACATAAACAGCACACACACAAACATATATATATATAATATATAAAATAACCCTCAGAGAGTTAACAGACAAAGAAAATTAGAAACCTAGAATGTGACGGCAGATAAAAACACCCTCACACACAGCACCCCTCTTGCATACACACACACACACACACACACACTACAGCACCCCCGACACTGCACCACTACACACATTACGCTCCAGATACACGCTAGATCCCTTACCCTATATGCACTCTTAATCCTCTACACACAAACACAATCTCCTATACACACTCTGGGTCCTTTACACACTAGATCTCCTACACACACACACACACACACTGCACCACCTACACACACTACATTCCTTGTCAGCAAACACATACAACATTCTCTAAACACACCCTCTCTACAACACCTACACACACTACGTCACCTATACACACACACTACAGCCCGTATGCACACACTCTCTACATCCCCTATAACACTATGCCCCCTATACACACACACTCTCTACAGCCCCTAGCCACACATATTACACCACAAACACAAATTAAATTGACCTATTTACACAATACCACACCACACTCTACACACGCAATCCCACAAGCAATCTCCAAACACATGCACCATACACTTTCCTGGCCCTTTTGTCCTCTGGTATCCCACTTGTGGAGACACCAGAGACAATTTAAAAGCAAACACAGCGCAAGCATGTTATAAAATTTGCTTGCGCTGCGTAGAACAAATTCAGGGCCTTTTTTTAATGCCAGAGTTCTTCAGCAGGGCTCTGCGCATTGAACCAACATGCTCACTTTGAGAGGGGGCGTGCTTGTCATTAGTGATGACAAAACACACCCTCTCTGGCCCTGCCCCCTCCTTAGGGGGCCGCTCTGACTGAAAAATGCCCTGGCCGAATTTTTTTGCCAGTCCGGCCCTGTGTATAGATCATGTCTTTGCAGTTTCACGTCTCAATTCTCTGCCATTTACGAGTTAAATCACTGTGTTTATGCAGCCCTAGCCACACCTCCCTGCATGTGACGTGCACATTTCCTGTAAAGAGAGAACTAATATTTAAACATCCTTTATTGCACAGTGTGTTTAATTTAGAATGTATTGTCTCCTGCTTTGTCCACAGCCTTCTACACCTGCAGGAGCCTACAGTGTGTGATTAAAGTTCAATTTACAAACCAGGAGATAAAAATTTCTAAAGTAAAACAAACTATGCTGTCAGATCTGATTGAAAATGAAACCATTATTTTCATGGAGGTTGTGTCAGTCACAGACAGCAGAGGTGTGGCTAGGGCTGCATAAACAGAAACCAAAGTGATTTAACTTCTAAATGGCAGAGAATTGAGCAGTGAGACTGCAAGGGCATGATCTAAACACTGAAACTGGTTCATTAAGCTAAAGTTGTTTTAGTGTTTAGCGTGTCCCTTGAACATATGGTTTGTTGAAATGTATGGGAGTTATTCAATCAAAGTCAATCCATGGCTGTAGCTGGTGGAATTCCTCTCTGAACTTCATGGAATAAAACAGATTTTTCTTTATTCAATTATGCCAATGGTATAGCTGCAGTATAAACTAAGTTATACTCGTTAACTACACTCCCAACAGTGCAAGAATTTTTATTTCCTAGTAGCTTACACGGGCAGCCATGGCCAATGTGTTTCTGAAAAACTGATGTTCTGGCAGGAGTATAATTAAGAAATAACACAGGCATTACTTGATGGATAATCCCCAAAGCGAAGAAGGGAGAAAATCACCCAAACTCAAAATCTTCAGAATCCCGTTTCATTTCTATTAAGTTTTGAAACTATTTTTGGGGCATATTTAAAGGTTAGGAACTTTTCTTTTTTTTTCTTTCTTTTTTTCCGTTTGGGGTTTTTCGACAAATTATGTTTTTAATGCTGTGTACGAGTCCCTACATTCACCCTAGAGAGGACTAAGGACACTTTAAATGGGCGTTTTCACGAGAAACTAACTGTTAAAGGACTAATACGGGCATCCAGACCACCAAATCTCAATGAATTGATCTGAGTGCAATGGTCCTTTATTTTTAACCTTTCAGTTTAAAACATTGCCATTTAGTAGATATTGATAGAGATTGCAGGGTTAAATACGCCTACAGTGGCTATCTTCCTGACAGCCACCAGAGGAGCTTCCACTGTGTGAGCCAAGTCAATCTCAGTTCTCACAGCACACCCCCAATAGTGGCTCAGCACTGCTGTCCCCAATGCCCCCCCTAGATGTAGCGGAAGGCAGGATAAGCAGCTGCAGGACTTGATCTCAACTCCAAAAAAAAGGTAAGTAATAGCAATAATTTTTTTTTCGATTTGGAGATTGTTGCATGTATTAATGTATGCTACTTAACAGATCTGTGATGGCTTGTTTGAGATATTTAACTCATCTGATCTTGTTCTGTAGGCTCACAATCCTCTATACAAAGGTGCGACGTCCACTTTCACCAACATCACGTTTCGTGGGAACACTGAATAAATATAAGGCTGGACTTCTCTCACAAGACAATTAGGAGCCATAAATCGACATGCTTTTAAACCACTCTGATGACTACTACCCCATTACCCCTAGACGCTGCAGAAGAGGGATGCCTTTCCCTTTAAAAATCTGGCTGCATAGAATTTGGATACTTGTATATTTATGATCTGTTACTTTACCCATTTGGGAATGTTGTAGTCCACAAAATGCCAGGATCCACAACAGGATTTCAAAGAAAACGAATTATGTGCTCTCACTAAGAAGATTAACTTGTATCGGTACAAGAAACCCAAGTACATCCGAGCTTGTACTGAACTAACAGGATGTTGTGACATCACGTGATGTCATGTTTTATTAAACTCTAGCAATACATTCTCCACGTATACCTTTCACACGCCTTTACAGCCAAGTCTTGCGCACATTTTCCCTCAAATATTTTTTGTTGTTAACACAGTGTTCACGGTCCAATCCTCCAAGCCTCTAAATATTGTTTTGTCACGGATATTATCCCGCCACTTCTGCTGTGACAAAGATTTCCTGTTTGGGGCTGTTGATATTCACGAAAACTTGAAATTTACTGTGCAAGAAATAACATTGCCATAGGCCTTTCATGTATTTTGGAGAACTGTGAAAAATGTTTACCTGTTAATATAAAAAGAAAAAAAAATGGTCCGCGATCTTGAAAACACCTGATTTCATGTATTTAAGAAACCAAATGAGTAGATGGAATGTTATTTCACGATATGTGAATAAGGAAACGGAAAAAATGAATAATTCTAGCTACGTTTATTTTTATATGGCTATAAAAGCACTGTACTTTTTCTGTATATTTGTTCTTTCTTACACAGTATAATATGAGATTGTACAAATATTGACATATGCTGGAATAATATTTTTAAGTGTACTTTTAAAGTAAGAGTCAAATCTGGGGGCAAGGTGTAGACAAACATCAGAGTACGCAGAGTGTGCCATGGAATTTTCATGGCTAGGGTTTTATCCATGGTGTTCAAAGGTCAAACATTGGGAATTATTTTCCCTGTCTGGCACTGGTAGGCCGTTACCTGGAAAATGTTCCTCCTCTTTCCCGATGTAAGTCCCAACTGAAATATGAACAGGGCCACCCCAGGTTTAAAGAATCGGATGCACCCATACAAATTGGCTTTGCCAAATAGAAAAGGGGTTATGACATACCACACATCACGTCTCCATCCACCGTAATTTCAGGGTCATACAAAATACCTCTGCAAAACAAAGTCTCCAGTTTAAACCCAGCAAGCTGAAGGTATGCACAAGGCACAGTGAAAGTGGGGATACTATCACACCTTAAAAATAATTCCCTGGGCGAACGAAAAAAGGGGGTACTGTGTTTAGTTGGGTCCATGAAACAGCTAATCACCACCTGCTTTTAGAATGAAACATAGGCACATAACATATAGTTAGCATAGGCGTGCGCAGCCTATTGCATTAGGGTGTGCACCGTAAAGCACAAACACATGCCGCATGTGTATATATATGTTATATATATATATATATATATATACACATACACATATATATATACACACATACACTGCTGTGTGTGTGTGTGTGATGTTTGTGTGGGTGCTGTTTGTGTGCTGTGTGTAAGGGTGTTGTGTGTTTGTAAAGGTGCGGTTAGTGTACTGTGTGTGTGAGCATGCTGTGTGTGTGAGGGTGCTGTATGTGTGTGGGTGCTGTTTGTGTGAGGGTGCTGTATGTGTGTGGGTGCTGTATGTGTGTGGGTGCTGTATGTTTGGAGGGATTGTGGAGGTGGGGGCAGATTAGTAAATATCCCTCCTCCCTTCTTACCTTATGTAGGGAGGGGGGATCCTTGCTGCCATGTGCGATCCCTGTTGGTCCAGTGGAGAGTGAACTCTAGCCTGCGGGGCTAGAGTTAACTCTCTCGAGATCTTAGCGTTGCCGTGGCAATGCTCAGATCTCGTGAGGGAACCTGGCGGAGCTGCTGTGTAGAGCTCCCCGGGTCCTCTCCTGCCTCCCTCCATGCTGCTGTGGGCTGGTGAGGTAGATCTTTGATTTCCCCGCCAGCCCATGGAGGCTTATAGCAGAGCTGGCACTCAGACAGCGCAGACTCTGCGTGAGCCGACAGGGGAGATCCGGAGATCTCCAGAGAAGTCCTAGGGAATAAATTGTGGGAACTCTCCCAAGATTACCACCCCCCCAAAAAAAAAATATACACGTGTTTGTGTGTGTGTGTGTGTGTATATATATATATATATACATATATATATATATATAGGCGTGCGCACACACACTGACACACATACATAGACACACACATATATATACGCGTGCACACATACTCAGACACACACACATACACTCACAGGCACACCCATACATTCACAGACACACACACATACATTCACAGACACACATACACTCAGACACACATTCACAAACACACACACATACACACACCCATACACTCACAGACACACACACACACACTCACAGACACACACACATACACTCACAGACACACACACACACTTACAGACACACACACATACACTCACAGACACACACACACACACACACACTTACAGACACACACACACATACATTCACAGACACACACACATACAAATTATTATTTTTTAATTAAAAAATGTCCACCCAGCCCACCTACCTGGAGAGCTGACGTGGACCTGTCCCTGGGGTCCAGTGGGTCGGACGCCTGTCTCCAGGTCAGACGTGGCGAGGGAGCGGTGTCCACTCTGCTGCCTCTTGCCGCGCGGGCTGTCTACAGTAGCTGGGAGACGGAATATGATGTCATATTCCAGCTCCCGGCATCAGCAAATGGCACGCGGCGTGAGGGAGCAGAGTGGATACCGCTCCCTCGCGTCTGATCTGGAGACAGGCACCCGACGGGGGGAGGGTCCATCACCTCTTGGCCCCCCCATGACAGGGGAAACACAGGGGGAGGAAGGGGGGCATTTGGGGGCGCTAAGTGCCTGCAGGAACAGCGTTCCTGCTCAAAAAAAAGTGCAGGAACTCTGTTCCTGCAGGACTCAATACATAGGCGTGCTGCGGGGATTAGGGTGTGCCCAGGCACACCCGGCACACCCCGTGCACACGCCTATGATAGTTAGTATATATTTAGCAAGAATATAGCCCAACAGAGCTTTATGGCAGTAGTGGCCAATAAGGAGACCAGTAGATGCTATAGCTCCCATGATGCTTTACCTTTATTAAAGGAACACTATAGGCACCAAAACAATTTTAGCTTAACAAAGCAGTTTGGATGTATAGAACATGCCCCTACAGTCTCAATTCTCTGCCATTTAGGAGTTAAATTACTTGTTTATGCAGCCCTATACAGTCCCTGTATACAGACTGCATGGGAATGATCTATATACACCAAGCCTGCTTCATTAAGCTACAGTTGTTATGGTGCCTATAGTGTACCTTAAAGTTGGCAAAGCATCATGGACATTTTAATTTGGCAAATTGGAGATCTACCTTTTGGTCTTCTCTGCTTTTGAGGAAATACATACTTGGCTGAAATCGTGGTCTAAAGTCTGGTAAAATGTCAGAACTCAAGTCAGAAATTCAAAACGGGAACTATATACAAATCTAGGACAGCTAGCAGGTATGGTTCCAATGCCTGATAAAATTATGAAGGAATAGTTTAAATTTCCTGTCTTTGCGTTTGCTGCCACCTGGTGGAGATTTAGTTTAGTTAAACTACAGTTTTTTGGCTTTATGGTTTTTTTTTAAGTGCAGTTGTTTATATGCACTATGACTATTGGGTTTCTGTAGTGAGAGACTGCTGCCCCATGATATGTATATTATTACCATCTTCGTAAATAATATTCATACCTAGCGGGACGTGGAAGTAATATTACTAAGGGATCTATTCACTAAACAGTGAAATGGGAATCTGTAAATTTATCAATATTCAGCATACAGATTTTTGCAATTTGCCATCATTCACTGATTAGTGCACAAACCCATTATATGTTCAGTTTAACCCATTTTTTCCCAGCAGGTTGCAACTGTTTAGCAATTTACATTGGAACCTGGACTTCGGTAATGGATTAAGGTAGTTTCAATTCCTGGAATAATCTTTCAAACTTTATAAACCCGAAATGAATGCATTTATGCAATATTAGTGCATTTCATCTTTTTTTGGGAAGGGTGGATAAAATGTAATCTGTTAAAGGGTTATTTCATTCACCATGACCACTGCTGCTTTTAGAAGTGGTTATGGTGGTAGGAGTCTATATGTGCAGCAGTTTCACAAAAACCAGGGCTCCTCTCGTCACTCAAGCCTACCCCCTCTCCAGCCACATTTACAATGCAGAAACCACTTCTGCATTAGGACATACAACTCCATTCAACTTTGATGGCATTAATAGGCTGAGAATCCTGGTCTAACCAAACAGCACCCAAAGAGTTATACCACCATAACCATTGCAATGAGCTACGGTGATTATGGTGCTTAAAGTGAAGCTTTAACTGGATTGCTGAAGATTGTGAGAAACCAAAAGTAAACTAAAAGGGGACTATTCACCAAATAGTGAGTTGCATGGACTTGAGTATTAACTTGAGAAATTTACACAAAAATATCAAATTGGATATTTTAGTTTAAAAAATAACTTTTAATTAAAATGGATAGGTTTTTTTTTTTACAACTCGTGTATTTTATCCTCAGTCATGATGGCATCAAAACTAAAAATCTTTAAATAAAATCCTTTGAAATCGCCTTTACCAAAACCGTGTCAAATGTCTAAATATAGATATTTAAAATTACAAATGTTTTTTTTTTAAATTTTCTTTTAGAAGAAAAATAGAAGAAAAAAAAGATAGAGACTTACAGGTACAGACTGTAGAGAATCTGAGGGTTCTATCTGTCTGGTAATTTAAGGTCTTATTCACTAAGTAGTGAGTTCTGGTAAGTTGCCAAGTGACTTGGAAATTTTAGAATAAGAAAAAAAAAAGTTTATTGGGGAAACATTTCCAATTCAGTCAAACTGTACAAATCAGTTATTTTAGCCTTCATTTCGCAATTTGGTTTTCAATTTACTAAAATGTGATGTTCTGTGAATAAACCCCTACTGTTTTATTAATTACGCCTGTTCACCCACTTACAGCTGTTGTCTTTATTTTAGAGAACACGAACCTCAATTCCCTTCAAAAGCCATCTCCCCCCCCCCTCCCCATTCCTCCAGGAGGTTCGAGCAAATTCTATTAATGCAAAGTATTGCGCTCCATGGAGACGCCGGATTCTGTAAATAACTTTGTGTGGGCGTAGTGTGTGTGTGTGTGTGCAAGAGTACTTGTTTTAGAATGTTCTTCTATCAATATGTCCAATTTAGTGTATGTTTGTCACTGCTTGCGTGTTAAAATATATGGCAGAAGGTGCATATGTATCGATGACAGTTTGGGAGCGTGTTGATGATACATAGTATGTGTAAGACTGTCTGCACGCGTGTGTGTGCCAGTTTGTGTGGCAAAGAACAAAATATTATTAATAGCATAGAAGAGGACAGCAGATACCTCAATCAAGAATTGGGGTTATAGAAAGGGGATCTATGGAACAACTTTCGGGACTACACAGACCCCATTGAATGTCTGGCATATCATCAGTGTTACGAAGCCTCCAGATAGCAGATTTTAAGTCTCTGCTGGGCAATCAGTTGCCAGGACACAGTGATTGTTCTCACTCTTGGTGCTCTGACTATGGTGGGTGTTATTGAAGACTGGTGCTCTGGCAATATAATTTAGTGGAGAAACTGTCTTTACAACCATTTAGACCTCATAGTACGTAGTATGAATAAACTCTATAAGATGCTGTGCCTTCCAGGCACTGCCAGTCTGTGCCCATCCTAGTGAGCCCTTGTGCTGTTATGCTGTGTGGAGACGTTAATCAAATATTCAGCCACTTCATACGCATTTGACTAGAAACATTAAATTTTAACCACTTCCTGGCCCTGTGGTGTCACTACCTTGGCAAGAACACAGTACGTATAGTGTCACCCTCATGCCACAAAGGTACATTTATCATCTATGAGGCAAGTATCCACTGCGTGTGACCAGATATATGTGATCTGAAGGTTTCCTCACCCAACTTTCTGCCTATATACCCAGCCTGCTATTTGTTACATAGACTGTTACCCCACACTGACTGATTAGAAGGGACACAGTGCTGTCCGTTGTCAAATGTACCTGACTACTAGATAGCAATTCTAATCTAGTTTCAGGCTCCAAGTGAACTCAAGTCCAAATCCAGATGTTAATTCCGAGTCAAAAGCTAGTTTAATTGAATCATTAGAACCAGTTCTGATTCCAGTTCCAGTTCCTGGCCAGTGTGTGTGTGTAAGAAGTGCACTGTGTGTGTGTGTGAGGACCATTGCAGTGTAGTCTCCTGTATCAAGACCATTGTAGTTTAGTCTATTTATTTCCATGCTGCTAGTCATAATTGTAGCCAACAAAGATCCATAGGCCACTTAACCTCTGGACAAAGATTTGACTCCCTATTATGCCTCAAACTCCCTCATGCACAAGCATGAATATACAGAAGAAATGTCATATTATTGCAATCGGGCACTCCTTTAGATAGTAAGCTTTTTTTGATCAGGACCCTCTTTACCTACTGTTGACTTAATACTTTAAATTACTTTAAATTAGTGTCCACAACAAGGTAGGCCAGGAGGACTGTGTGTGTGTGGAATGGATATGGATTCTTTCCCTTGCAGACGCACTCCCAGTGTGTACTCAGTGCATGCTGACAGATGGATTTTCGGCACAGTATTACAGAGCTGACTATCTCTGTGAAATACCTAAAGCAATTATAACAGCTCCCCCAAACATCAGTCAAGACTTGATGAAGTGTGAAACAGATTAAATTTTATTCACCAAACTCCAGTGGCGTACTAAGGGGGGGGGCGGGGGGTGCGGTCCGCCCCGGGTGCCAGCCGGGGCATGGCTAGCCCCGGCCGCTTCATGCTGCAGCCGCCTGAAGGCCAGCTGCGAGCTTTGCTCGGGCGGTGCGCCCATGAGGGCGACCGCACCGCCTGGCGAATCTTAGAGAGGCTGACAGAGGAGCGCCCTGTCAGCTCTTGTTGTAGCGCGGGTCGAGCCCGGCAGTGAGGATATCCATGGTAAGAGAGTGCTCCTTCACTGCCGATTCGGAACAGTGGTGCACACTGAGTGTGCACTTCCCAGCAGTCCGCCGGTCAGGAGACAGTGCCTCTGTACCCGGACTATACTGGGTTCGCCACGCTACAGCAAAGGTAGTGGGAGGGGGGGTGAGAAAAAGGAGGGGGGTTGAAAGAGAAAGGGGGGGTGAAAGAGGAGATGGGGGTGAAAAGGACAAAGGTGAGAGAGGGGGTGAAATAGGAGAAGGGGTGAAAGGAGAGGGGGGTGAAAAAAAGAGGAGAGAGGGGGGGTGAGAAAGAGGAGAAAGGGGGGGTGAGAAAGGAGGTGAGAGAAAGGAGGGGGGAGAGAAAGGAGGGGTGAGAGAGGGGTGAAAAAGGAGAAAGAGGGGGTGAGAAAGAGGAGAGGGAGGGGAAGGGAGGTGAGAAAGAGAGAAAGGGGGTGAGAAGAGAAAGGGGGGGTGAGAAGAGAAAGGAGGGGGGAGAGAAAGAGAAAGGAGGGGGGTGAGAAAGGAGAGAGGGGGTGAGAGAGAAATTAGGAGGGGGAAGAGAAATTAGGAGGGAGGGAGAGATATTAGGAGGGAGGGAGAGAAATTAGGAGGGGGGAAAGAGAAATTGAAATTAGGAGGGGGGAAGAGATATTAGGAGGGGGGAAAGAGAAAGTGGGAGGAGGAGAAGGAAATTGGAGCGGGAGGAGAGATTGACATTCATCACATACACACAATGCACCCCTTGCACACAGAAAAACACACAGACACACATACACAAGCAATGCAACCGTTACACACAATGCATCCCTTACACACACAGAAACACACAATGCATTCATTACACACACTCAATGCACCCCTTACACACATTCAATGCATCCCCATACATACACAGAAACACACCTTGCAGCCCTTACACATACAAACACAATTTCACACAGCCATTCACCCACACACATATCAGGAGCATCCCCTCCACCCCTGTAGGAACAAACTCATTGGTAGAACATGAAAGGCAGACCCTGAGACTGAGCAGGCTGTGTAAGACCCCCAAAAATGAAGCTGCTTCCCGTTCTCCCAGAACATTGATTTTTGTGACCACAGTTACAAGCCGCCTCCAGAGAGCCTGTTCTACACCAGACCAGTGGAGCCAGACTGCAGCTAGAGCCCATCATCATCCTCATCTGGTTGTAAGTAGGCAATCTAGTATATTATTCGTGGCACTAATCTCTAATTTACCTCACATTAAAAACACTATAGTCCCCAGAACCACTGCAGCTTAATGTAGTGATTCTGGTGTCTATAGCCTGTCCCTACAGGCCTTTTAATGTAAACACAGCGGCACTGCAACACTGGTGTTAGTTAACATGGCAAATCATATGGGTGGGGCATTTTGATGTCACATGGGGGGGGCAAACTTTACTTTTGCCTAGGGCGGCAAAAATCCTTGCACCGGCCCTGGCTGGAGGGGGCTGTGTGAGCTGTGGCCGCACAGTGTCCCATGGTAGTTAGGGTGCCGTGCGGCCAGTACAGCTCACACAAGCAAACAGCTGATAAACTGGCCGCACGGAGGAAATGTGTATGTGTGACTGTCTGCCTGTGACTGTATGTGACTGTCTGCCTGTGACTGTATGTGACTGTCTGCCTGTAACTGAGTGTGTGACTGTCTGTAACTGAGTGTGTGACTGTCTGCCTGTAAATGTGTGTGTGGGGCTGCAGGGATTTTGTAGAAGGGGGCGGGGGTTTTGTATTGGGACAGGAGTCTTTATAAGGGGGATAAGCAGGGGATTTGTGGAAGGGGGTTGCGGGGGTTTTGTAGACGGGGCAGTACAGGATTTGTAGAAGGGACAGGACAGAGGTTTTGTAGGAGGGGCAGGACAAGGGTTTTGTAGGAGGGGCTGACAGCGGTTTTGCAAAGTTTACAAATTGTAAAAAAAAAGAAAGAAAACCTTTAAAAATTTTTACAGGTTTTTTTTTTGGGGGGGCCAAGCACAGGATCCGCCCCGGGTGCCAAATGCTCTAGGTACGCCCCTGCCAAACTCACACATATTTATATCCAACCAATGTGTCGGTCATTCATGCAATACAACACAGTTCCCTCCCCAGCGCCATGACACCATAACCCCAAAATACTCCTTTCCCAAAATGTAATGAACAAATTTAACATTACTCAGTTCAAAAACAGACGTCTGCGTTGTCTAAGTCACGCGTGCCTGCGGCGTACTAGGCCTCTGCACAAAACTGCAAATACCTCTGTGTGTAAAAATTTCTAACACCATGACCACTTCTAAAAGCAGAATTGGTTACGGTGGCTAGTTCCACCCTTTGTCAGTAGTGCCTACTTTGTCCTATGTATTTTATGAGAAAAAGATCAGGAAGGAAGAAAAAAAAAAACCTGATTCAGAGACAGGAAGAGAAGAGGAAGTTGTTTGAGAATGTTAACGTTGTATTGACAGAGCTGTTTAAATACATGCCACACCTAAGGATCTAATTAAAAATGTTTACCAAGCTCAAAGAAACTGTACCATCAAAAATAACAAAAAAATGGGTCGCAAGAGAATACTGAGAACGGGCAGCAGCTGAAATAGCCTGCCCTTCGGTGGGTCCCCGCTCAGTTTTCAAGCTGGTTTTTGCTCATCTTGTGCCATTACAGAGAGAACATCTCTGAAACATATCAGACTGGTCCCGCCCATCCGGGCAGTCCAGATCCGAAATGCCAGCAAGTTCCCTCTGCACGAGAGACACAGCAACCCCA